GGAGGAGCGTGCCCTTGGTTGTGAAGGGGTTCACAAAATCATGGAATGGCTTGGGTTGGGAGGGACCTTATAGATTGTCTCATCCCAACCCCCCTGCTGTGGCCAAGGGCAGCTTGCACTGGGGTTAAATTAGCAATCCGCCCCCTTCTACACCACTCTGCCGTGCAAATCAGAGTCAAATCAATTCTGCTGCGGGGTCCAGCCCCGTTTCCGTGTGAGGCAGATCCCTCTCTCCCTCAGCCGTCATTTTCCTCCTAAACCCCAAGCGCCAGCCAGGAGCCCTGTTCCCGCTGCTGCCGGTGCAAAGAGCCTGTGCAGGGACCGCAAGGCCGCGGGGCCCATCTAGCGGCGCTCTCCAGGACGAACGTGTGCCCGGGACACCGGGAACGAGGAGGAGGAGGGCGGCCGGGCTGGGCACGGCACCCCCGCAGCCTCTCTGGGCTCGCACAGCCCTGAGCCCCACCGGGAGCTGCTGGCACGTGTCGGATTATGCCTTTTCTGACCCAGAGATGGGGCAACTGAGAGGCGTTTTAAAAGTTTTTATTCTATTTTTAGTCTCATGCGAAGCGTGAGACAACACAGATGTTGTAATTCACACCATCACAATCAGAAGCCAGCTATTTCATAATTACAATCCATTATAAGTGTTTCTTGGCTTATCAGCTTTTGCAAATGCCTTAAAGCAAATTATCTCAAAATTACCCCTCGTGGGTCCCACTACAATGCATCTTTCATAATTCTATTTCTCCAAAGTATCTAGTCTTTTTTGTAAGGCCGTCCTTTGAAACTTGTTTCTAGTTCTATTTCTCTCTCACCCATGTCTGTCCTATTCCATGGCATTTCTAAGTCAGCATTTATTATCTCAAGGTTTACATTTTTTATCTCAAGGTTTGCATACAGATGCACGCTACGTGAGCCTTCTGCCAGGTTTTCTAATTTCTAACTGGCACAGGGCACCAAACCCGACCCGGCACGGCCCCAGCACACACGGACAGCGCTCTCCGCGGTGCCGCTCCGTACCTGCCCGGCAGCGAGAGCCTCCTTCCTCGGGGAACCTCTTCCCAGCCGCTCTCCTCTTCCTCGCACACTTCTGGGGCTGCGTGTCCCTCTCCCGCTCCATCACCGCTCCGGCACGGCCTTGGGAGGGTCCCAGAGGGACGGGCTGGGATGGAGGTCTGACTCCCGCAGGTGCATCTCCTGCCGCCGAGCCGTGCCGTGCCGTGCCAAGCCGAGCCGAGCCCAGCCGTGCCGCACGCCGCTCTCCGGCCCGTCCTGCCGCTCTCCAGCTCCGCCCGCCCTCGGTCCCGGAGCGACACACGTGGGTGGGTAGATGAGCAATGCGAGGGGTGACTGTCGCAATTAAAAGGCAAATATTATGTGTATGTTAAGAGGAGTTTTCTAGTCATGTTTTACACCCCCCTTGCATTGTTATCAGGGGGTGACCTGGGTAGTCGGGACATTTGTGAGGGTCGGCTCGTTACTATGGAAACAGCTGACCTCCAATCAAGATTTAAGGAAGTGATCTCCACCACTGGACAGCGAAGAAGGAGTCGATGGACAGAACTTTGGGAGGGGCTAAAGGGTTAAAAGGAGAAACCTCCATTGTGTGGGTCAACGCATGGTGGGAAAAATCCTTTGCTCCCAGAGCTGTAATATTTTCTCTATTCAGTCTTCTATTGTATTTTTGATAAGGTTTATCAAAACCTTTTAAATTTTTTTGGAAGTGAGTATCGTTTCTCACATGGGTATGTGTATGTGTCTGTACATGCACACACGTGTGTATAGTCGTGTGTGCCCACTGGTGTCACCAGTGAATGGTTTGGGCACTCAAAGGTACTGGCAAAAAGCAGATTTTAATGCAAATTTGTGAAAGTGCAACTTAAGGGAGTTGAATTACAATGTTCACCCTGTTGCTGGCTACATGGCTGAAGTATGTGTAGGAAAAACAGATTGGAATGCATTTAGGATGATTTACATGGAGGGGATGTTACATTTACTGAGGATGCAAAAGGGTGAGGGTACAAAAAAGAATGGTGAAGAAAGGTTTAGCAGCACTCAATCATGGACTGATTTAACAATCAAACATTCAATAGCATTTGCTACATTTTAACAGTGACTTAGTAACAGACATGATAAAAGCATTCATAGCAGAATCAATTCACACACATTCAGAGATGCACACATCTGTACTGATCTGTGCAGAGGAACCTGCCAAAAATTCCCCTTAGGTTCAGTGAAATATGTCACATTCCTTAGTGATTCTCAAAGGTGGGGATTGCACCTTGAGGGGTGTCAGGGATGGGGGATTAATAAGGGAACCAAAGAATGAGGACTAAATTAGCATTGAAGGGATCAACAACCAATAGGAGATCAAATAGTAAGAATTATGTCATGTAAGACCAATGAACGAGGGTTTTGGAGCTTTGTATGTATAAATATGTGAAAAGTCTGCTAAAGAGGCATGTGTGACGGAATGAATTTCACTGGGCACATGTGGATGAAATAATTTCTGTCGCACATCCTGGCCAGGATAAAGTAATGTCTAAATTCTCTTTCCTATCAAATCTTTCCTATAAATTCCAAGTTTCCATCCTGGCCATAACCCAGGTTGGGAACAATGGTACCATTCTACTCAAGTTAGAACTCAGGTAAATTATTTACCAAGGCTAACAGGGATGACGGTTATCTTTTGTTATCCACCTTGGTTGGTCCCTGAAGACTCCTGCTGCTGGAACCCCGGATGCTGAGAATTTCAGAATTTCTCTGCTGCCAGGCACTGACCCCCAGAGAACACTGCATTGACCTGAGGCCGTGGAGAAGCTTCCAAACTGGAATGGTAAAACTGGGATTGTGGGTGTGGAGTTTGAATAGAAGTGTGTGATATCACAGGGTGGGAAACTTAGAGTTTAAGGTTTGAGAAGATAGTAATATAGGTAAAGCAAGGGGGAGGTTTTAGGGCAGAGGCTGCTCCTTCTTCTTCACCTTCTTCTCCATGGGTTTGGGTGGTTTTGTGTAATTGGATAAAAAAGCCCGCATTGTGGACACAGTTGGTTATTGGATTAAAAGTAAAAATAATTTAGGTGTTAATTTTTAATTGGACAGTTTATCCTTAAAAGGCCTTGTAGAGAGAGAGACAGGGCTCCATTTTTAGTTTGTTAGAGTGAAGTGCTGTAGAACTCAAGGTTTGTGAGACTGTGACAGAGATAAGAACCAATAAACATCTGAGTCTCAACAAGAAATATCATCTCACACATTTAATCCTGACCTTGGCAAAAAAGAAGCAAAGAATGAATCAGCATCCTTTTACAATTAGAATTATTCCCACTTTTACCATGTTGCAGTACAGTCAGGGACACTTTATCACCCAACTGGTACAGTCCAGGGAATGCTTTAAGAACCTATAAATGAAAAAACACTCACTTTTGAGATAATATCAGTAGAGGAGGTAGTAGAAAAGCTGGACTTTATTGGAGGCCTTCAGAGGCAGTTAGGGAAAAATGTCCATAAAATCCCACCCCCCACAGGGTGAATGCAGTTTTATAAGTTTATAATTCCCAATTCGAAGCACAGGTGATGACGTAATTCCCCCTTCTGGTTCAACCCTGTGATAGGTTGTTGCTGGCTAAATGTCAGCAGCAACAACAAACTGAACCAGAGACCCAGTCCCAGTTCCATTCCCATTCCCAGTCCCATTCCCAGTCCCACGTTCCCAGTCCCATTCCCAGTCCCACATTCCCAGTCCCACATTGCCTATCCCAGTCCCATTCCCAGTCCCACATTCCCAGTCCCACATTGCCTATCCCAGTCCCATTCCCAGTCCCACATTCCCAATCCCATTCCCAGTCCCACATTCCCAGTCCCACATTCCCATTCTCATTCCCATTCCCAGTCCCACATTCCCATTCCCAGTCCCACATTCCCATTCTCAATCCCAGTCCCAGATTCCCATTCCCAGTCCCATTCCCACATTCCCATTCCCATTCCCATTCCCATTCCCATTCCCACATTCCCAGTCCCACATTCCCAGTCCCATTCCCACATTCCCATTCCCATTCCCACATTCCCATTCCCAGTCCCACATTCCCATTCTCAATCCCAGTCCCATATTCCCATTCCTAATCCCATTCCCATTCCTATTCCCATTCCCAGTCCCACATTCCCATTCCCATTCCCAGGGGCTGTGGCAGGAATCTCAGAGCAGCGGCTGGAGTGGCAGAGTTGGGCACACCCAGGGTGGCAAAGGAAATGTAGCAGAAGCTCTGAGCCTTAACAGAACTTCAGGTGTCCCGGCAGGCATGGGATGCTGGGTAAAGTGTAGCAAAAAAACCCAGAGGAACGGCAGAAAACAGCGGTGCTGCTCGCGGCTGATGGGCTTCGGAAGCGGCTGCCATGTGAAGCCGAGAAATGCTCGCTCTGCGAAGGGAGATGGGGTTGGGGTCCCATTCCCAGTGAGGCTGGGTGTTGGAAAGTCCCAGTTCTTGCAAGCAAAATCTCACCCATGCTAAGGAGAAGCAGTGCAGGACAAAAACACAGTGGCAGCAAATCCTCTGGGCAGCAACAGTCCAGCACCAGACCACATCTGCCTCCACTCTGATGCCAAGAGAGACCACAAGAGAGCTGAGCTCCGATCCCCCAGGCAATATCTTGCAGCACCTCTGTCCTTCCCAAGAGAAACCTCCCAGCCAAGAGACTGCAAACTGCACCCCTTCCCTGGCAACTTTGTCCACATCTTTCATGTCTCTTGAATATCTGTGTCTCAGTTTGAGAGTTACCCCAGGACAATCTGTGCTTCCATCTCTTAGGCAAGAAATGGGAGAAAAATTCCATGACAGAAAGAAAATAAAAAGGAAAAAGCCTAACCTCCAACACTGGGGAAAAGGGGAAGAGGGACTTCAGGCATGGCTTACTTAGAGCTTGTTTGTTTTTTTGGGTTTTTTTTAAGATGCAGCCCTCTAAACAAACATGCCTTCAATGGTTGGTTTATACATTCACACAAGACATGAGTTTAAGCATCCCTTTATTGCATAAGCACCAAATAAGTCATTGCTTCCCTAGCAGCAGCAGAAAGCACATGAAGCAGTAAACATGTTGTTTCAGTGTTAGCACCTTTCATTCATGCACTGTTTCTAAATCCAGCTTTCATTTGGAAAAAGGACTTGTGAACTAAACAACAAGACATTTCCCTTCCCTAACAGCCTTTCCAACCCATCGTTTCCTCACAGAGAGGCTGCCTGCAGTCTAGGCTGTTTGATTGACTTCCCTAAAGAATTATAAGGAATGCTGTATTCCCTCAGGCCAGATGCACATATGTTTCAGTGCCCTATCCCTCATACCAGACAGGGACAGATGCTCAGATAAATTTAAGGAGCAATGTCATGTTTCAGCATAGTTTTCTCTCTCTGTCAGTGGTCTGTCTTAATCAGTGACTGTCTGAGTCATAAGGCAACGTAATTCTGCACATCTTACACAATGTTCATTATATTTTTGTATTTCCTCACTACAGACACTCCAATAAGAATAGGCAAAAAAATAAAGAGGAAGAAGGAGAGGAGGAAGGGGGGGTGAAGGAGAACAGAGAAAAAAACAAAAGAGAGAGAGAAATCCTAAATGTTGCTAAGCCCTGCTAGGGTAACAAAATCTTGAGTCGGGATTATGCAAGTAAATCAAGGCTGAAACTCCACTTGTAGTGGCTTGTTGCTACACCTGTTTTTATTAAGCTGTGAGCTGTGAGTTCTCTGTTTGCATTGCAGCAGTGTGAAAGGCTTCCAGAGTTAGCACTAGCCAGTACCCACTCTATCTTAATAATATACTGGTTTTAATTCCCCGCACCCATGCATTTCCCTGGCCTCCTCTCCAAATGCTGGTGGTCCTGAGGAAACGATCAGCACCGGTAGAGTGATTTAGCAACCTTTGACAAAGGAACTCAGGTCTCTGCCCCGGCAATGGTTTTTCCAGCCATACCTGAAAAACAAATACATTCTGTAGTTTGAGGAGTTAGATTATGGTTGAATTGGTTATGAAAACAGACTTGGTTAATCTTTGAGAGTCTTGGGTGAAGACTCTCAAAGATCCCTCTGAAAGATACGAATAAATGAAAATGATTATGAGCTCAATCTAAGTGAGCTGGGGGAAGGGGAAGAGAACAAAAAGGAGAGCTCTGGGAGATGAAGGAAATTTAGGGAATTAGAGCAGGTGGTGCAAGACAGGATTCCTGTCTTCTCCTTTCAGCTTTAGGAGAAGGACTGTGCTAAACTGCACCAGATCCAGCTTCCCATGCATTGATCACCCTGCCTCCCTCAGTCAGTAGCAGGACTGTCTTTGATCTGCTCTGCCCACTCTGCCCCAGTGTCCACTGCAAATATCCTTACCAGGGACTGAGGCCATGAGCCTCCCGGGCAATCTTCTTGGCACACTGAATATCATCCCCAATATTATCATCTTGCAGTTCTGTAGAGAAGGGAAAAAGATCAGTGTGGAGGAAAGTGGGGTAGAGGAAGAGCAGGGACAGACTGTCAGAAGGAGAGGTGTCCATCAGGGAGGAAGGGTAGGTGGGACACTGAGAAGATGGGTGGAAGAAGGACAGACAGAAATGACCGGAGCAGCTGCTAGGCAGGTGTCATGGACAGAGCAGGTGCTTTCATGGAATGAACAAAGATAGGTTCTTTGTTCCGTCCTACCACTTACTTGAGCAACTGATGTGGCAGGCATTCTTGGATCCAGAGGTCCTGCCATCATTGCACCAGTACTTGCTGTTGATCTGGAAGATGCCGTAGTCCCTGCTGGGCCCATTGTTATTGTATGCTTTCGTGTTATAACCACTCTCATATTTTATCAGGCACATCCCTGCAGGAGGAAGAGAGATCCCAGAGCAGAACATTAAGGTATGCTGAGGGTAAATAAGAGGAAAGATATGACAGTACTCAGGATAAATGAAGCGCTGAACAAGCAATTAAACTGGTAATATCATAACCTTGAGAATTGGATGGGTAAATTCTTGGAAGGACAAAGCTCTAGATGAGTATTTGCTGTGTGAACTATAGAAGGGAGCAAGGAAGGGGATGAGGAAAAGATGAAGTCAGAGAAATGGAAGGACAGAATAGTACTGCTGGAAGATCAAAAAGAATTTGAGAGGGACAAAGGTGGTACTGGCAGCTCATTATACTCACAGTCAGCAACAGTTGTGCCCTCAAAGCCCTGAAAGCCATTCCGACGTAGGATCTTCACCATCTCACATCTGGAAATTATTTTCCCCTGGGTGCCTGGCAGAGCCAGACCAAGGAAAACAAGAAGAAAGCCAAGGAAGAGCATTGACCTTTTCATCTTGCAGTCCACAGCAGGATGTGCCAAAGCAGCTTGAGCTGCCTGTCTGCCAGGACTGCCAGCAATGCCAGCCTTTTATTCCTGCTCCCAGGAGGAGGATCAGCTGGTTGAGCAAGCATATCTGGGAACTCTGGGCGGTCTTTACAGTAACAAGCCAATGAGGAAGTGGGCCAAACTCCAAAACAAACTCCAAAACAACTCCGGAATTCCTGGAAGGTGCCAGTACCTATTTCACTGGTCCTTCAAGGCTGGGGCATATGTTTTCCCCAGACACCCCAGCAATCCTCAGTTGGATATTATTCCAAATGTCATGACTGTAGTTCCCTGTGTGAGTGTCATGGTTTAACACCAGCAGTCTGATAAGTCACTCAATCTCTCACACTCTATTGAGATGGGAAAGGTAAAAGTTAGAAAACTTGTGGATTGGGATACAGGCAGATTAATGGGGAAAGAAAAAGCCACACATGAAAGAAAAAGCGAAATAGGTTTATACTTTGAGCAGGACACTACATATGATCTGGGATATGCCGTGGTCAGTGCGGGTCAGCTCTCTTGGCATCCCCCATCATGGTCTAGGGGTATGGTATTTGCTGATTTAGTACTCCCATTGAAAAGTTTACAAGCTGTTCCCCTCATCTTCTCCAGTCTCAGGATGAGATAAAAAGAATTTAGTGGGAATGGCAATGAGTTAAGAATCAACCTTGAAAAATGTCCTTGTATAGAACCTGCTGCAAAGGAGGTGAAGAAGGAGTAGCCAACTTCATGTTCTCAATTCATCTTCCTACTATCCCTTGTAAAATACTTCTGAACAATAAACTACATACAAGAGAAAGAAACCTGATTTATTATGTTTTTGTTTGCATGGACTGTATATTACAAGCCATGGCTGATCACTGGACATTAACTTCATTGGTCACTACCTCAAGATTGCCACACCTCAAGTGGTCATTACCACTACACTGGCTGCCTTTGACATCAGTTTTCTTTCTCCTGCTGTATGCATCAAAAAGCTCAAGAAAATAAGGGTAAGAAAAAATCTTGAAAGGTAAAAATAAAAAGAGGCAATCATTATCAAAGACATAAAGCTAAGAAGATATGGCACAGCTGAGTAGCAGGAGTCTCTCATATTGGTGTGTCTGATGAAGAAATAGCAAAAGGTGACTGCGCTGGGTGTAACTGAGGTAATTTCCTTCCCAGTGGCTGGCATGGGGCTGTATTTTGGATTTGTACTGAATGTAGGGATGATAATGGAGGTGTTTTTGTTATTGCTGAGCAGTGCTCACACGGAGCCAAGGCCTTTTCTGCTTTTCACACTGCCAGGCTGGCAAGGGAGCTGGGGGTGCTTGGGAAGCTGGGAGGAGACACAGCTGGGACAGAGGACCCAAAGTGATCCAAGGCATGTTCCAGGCCATACGACATCATGCTCAGTATATAGAGTGGGGGGCAGAAGGAAGGAGGGGAGGGATGTTTGGAGTGGTGGTGTTTGTCTTCCCAAGTCACTGTTATGTGTCCTGGAACCCTGCTCTCTGTGGGATGGCTGAATACCTGCCTGCCCATGGGAAACAGGGAGTGAATTCCTGGGTTTGCTTTGTTTGTGCATTTAGCTTTTGTTTTCCATATTAAGCTGTATCCCAACCGATGAATTTTCCAGCTTTAACCCTTCTGATTCTCTCCCTGATCCTTCTGGCAAGGGAGTGGGGAGCGGCTGTGTGGGACTTGGCTGATAAACCACGACACTGACTGACAAAGTCAGAACGCAGGAATTATATTACCTCTACATGTTTTCACACTTCTCAATCCTTGAAAGGGTCCTCTATGGTTTATTTCCTCCTCTAGCTCCAAAGCAAGCTCTTTATCCTTTCATGCTAGCAATGCCATATGACTTCAAAAAAGGAAGGATTGAGGGTTAACAGAGTATTTTGGGAGGGGATTGTGGATGAGGTGTTGAATAGAAGAGCTTTTGCCTTTAGCAGTCATAGAGGACATTGGAAAGAGAAATAATTCCACTGGTTTCTTTACATATTTTTATATCAACTGCCATCACATCTAAGTTGGAGGAAATTGTGCAAAGGCTTCACGTTTGCTGTGAATTCCACAGAAGAAAGGAGTCCATGCCTCTACAACCCTCTAGCTCAGTGAGGAGCTTATGGGGGTCCTCTTGTTGGAAATTACACCAAGTATAAAATTTTTTGTACAACTTTAGTCAGGGGTTTTGTTTGCCTATGCCCAAATGGAAAGGAATTGAAATTTCTTTTCATAAGACTGTTTCATGACTCCAGGCCTGATGAGCAGAACATCTCAGCAGGCTGGGAGTAGCACAAAAGATACACAGAAGATAATAACCATCATTAACAACTGTCAACTCCAAACATGACACCTGATCTGTGAAGATAGATAAAGAGATAGATATAAAAAGATAGATAAGAATGATGACCTAATTAGCATCAGAGTCAAAGAGATCTGTAACCAATAAGGAACCCAAATACTAAGAACTGCATAACTTGGAAAAAATGAACCATGAACCAATGTATCTCAATGGGTTTTGATGTATCAATTTGTGAAAAATCTGGTAAAATTCATGTGTCATGGATTTTCTCTGCACAACCCAGGCTATGTGGATAAAATTATTTCTGTTGCACATCCTGGCCAGAACAACGTCCTGCCCAGAATGAAGCAATGCATTGATTCTCTAACACTAAAAGTGTTGTTGGAGAATTTGTTTTTCCCGCAGTTTCAATGACAACTGTGGTTTATTCTAGGCAAGTTTTTATTGTTTCTGGGAAAGGGATCTCCTTTACTAAGGCACTTTTAGAATGTGTTTCCTGGAGACAGTTTGTTTAGTGTAAAACTTCAGTGCTTGGCTTTACACTTGAGTAAATCATTCTGAAATGAGTGACAGGTATTATAACATTTGAAAATAACTGTGAAATATGTATTTGTTATTTTATTTACCCTTACATAGTACAGAATTTGTTTCCAAGACCCACTTTGTATAGAAGGTTAGACTTTTTAAACAAAGTTTGGCACAACTTTGTGACTTGAGATTCAACTGTCAGATAAGAATTAAACTTGAAATCTTCTAGGAAAGGAAAAAAAGAGCCTCACATTCACAACAATAGCTTTGCTACATTATTTGAAGGAACTGTGGGAATTCTTTGGGAAATGCAACACCTGAATAGCTTTTAGTTGCAGCATGGTTCACTGCTCAGCTGTTCACTGCTCATTCTGTGCCATATTTTGAAGTTGGCTTCCTTACTAGTTGCTGGTACTTCCATGTAGGATTGCTTTACTTGTCTGATTCATGAGGGAGGTGGCAGTGATGCTTGCTAGAGCTTTTGCTGCCAGGGGATTCCCCAGCAACTCAGACTTGAAGCTCAACTGAGTGGAGTGAGCTACTTCCATACATTGGTCATATGTTCATTTTTATTCCGAGTTGAATTTTATTTATTTTTTTTTGGCATAGGAGTACTAAAAATGTTATTGCCTCACTTTAAAGTTCTTCCTTTTTTAAATTTGAGACTCTGGGTTGAGGGGAAGAATGAAGATAATGCCATAAATAAAATTGTTACCAGATGATAAATGGCCTACACCTGGTGAGGTAACACAAAGCTTGTTCCAGAATGAACTGCACAATGCCCATTGTGTAAGAAGGAGACTGGAAATTCACCACCCTCAGTGTCCTGCCAACTCAGCCAGGTCCCCTGGAACACTGGGGTCCACAACCACCAGGGACCACCAGAGAGACCCCCAGGGCAGATGAATGAATGCATAAGGAAAGGGGAAATATGTTCATGATTTTGGGCAAATCATATGTATGTATAAAAAATATACATATAAAAATCATATTTATAATGTGATTATCATATGTATGTTTAGTCTGGGACAATCAATGAATATGTATAAGAAATACAGAATATAAACAGAAACTTTCCTATGCTCAGCATGCACGGTTTTGGGAGGAGCTATCCCCCTGTGCATCCAGCTGAATAAAGAATGCAGCTTTTTAATGCTACATTGGTATTAAGGACTTTATTATTTTACTGAAATTTTGGTAACAAAAAAATTAAATCCCTGTCCTGGATTAACTTAAGTGGCAATAGACCAGCATGAGGTTGCTACAAAGGGGCTTGCAGAGAATTTCTGGCTAAAAGTCATATGCCATAAGTCTGATGAAGAGCAGCTGAGGGAGCTGGAAAGGGGCTCAGCCTGGAGAAAAGAAGACTTGGGGGGGACCTTGTGGCTCTGCACAACTCCTGAAAGGGGGGGACAGCCAGGGGGGATTGGGCTCTGCTCCCTAGGAACAGGGACAGGCTCAAGATGTGCCAGGGCAGGTTCAGGTTGGATATCAGCAGGAATTTCTCCATGGAAAGGTTGGTCAGGCCTTGGAAGGAGCTGCCCAGGAAGGTGGTGGAGTCCCCATCCTTTGCTTCTTATTAACTGCTTAAAGTTCTACTGATCAAACAAAGGTTGAAGTACAATTCCCAGGGCATGGCTTTATTTATTTTAGTCAATAGTGCTAGGCTCTGGCACAAATTAGGCTCTCACTGCACATCCATGGTCAAGGAGTAGATGTTTCCATGCATTCTGCCATTGTCTTAAACCCTGGACTTGTGGCTTCCACTCTGTTTGTGGGATAGGACGCATACAGCACTGTGTCAGAGGTTTACAAGAGATGGGTTGGAAACAACTGGTCATAGAATCATAGAATCATGGAACCATGGAACCCCTGACATGGAAGGGACCCCTACAACTCTTCTGTCCTGCCTACCCCTCCTGAAAAGCCTGTAACTGTCCAGAAGAAACAGGTGAGGAACCTTTGGGTAATGAACCTTCTCCTTCTGAGTGAAGAACCTTCTGGGTGAAGAACCAGAACCCAGAACGTGGTCAGGTACTGGAACAGGTTCCTCACCAAAATGGCTACAGCACCAAGCCAGCTGACAGACACAATGGTGTGGTTGTTGGGCTGTCCTGTGCAGGGCCAGGAGTTGTAGCATTTAGACTCGATGATCCTTGTGTGTCCCTTCCAACTCAGCAGATTCTGATTCACCCAGAAGGTTTTTCACCCAGAAGGTTCTTTACCCAAATGGTTCTTCACTCAGAGGGTGGTTGGGCACTGGAACAGGCTTCCCAGGGAGCTGGTCACAGCACTGAACCAGCAGCCAGACACATGGTGTGGTTGTTGGGGCTGTCCTGTGCAGGGCCAGGAGTTGGACTTGATGATCCTTGTGGGTCCCTTTCAACAGAGGGGATTAAATGATTCTATAATTCCTAACATCTTACCTAAATCTCACCTGACACAGTCCCACATGCATCCTCTAAAATCAACATTAGGTTGCCACATCATTCCCCCCATTTCCCTTCTTCCCCCTGCCCTTTCTTCTTCTTTTGAGTTTTCTTCTTTATTTATCTTGGCCCTGGGTTGAGACTTTCTGGTTTTCCATCTTTCCATGAACCTTTACTCGGTAAATGCAGGTGTACCAGGGGTTTCCCCAGTTGCTTTTCACAAGAAGTTTGACATGTGAAAAGGCTCTGGGGAGCAGCATGTTCTGTGAAGAGGGAAAAGTTTAGTGTTAAAATCAACAGTGAAATCAACAGGTCTTACCCTGCCAGCTCTCTTTCTGCTCAGGAACAAGCTCCCAAAAGAAGCTGGGAGAAGCAATGAAGATCTGAAGCTCACTGCTGGTACTAGGGCTGCTGGGGAGGCTGGGGGCAAGGGGAGGCACTTGGCATCCTCTGCGTGCTGGCCCAGCTGGGGCTGCTCCTCCTTTCCTTCTGTCCCTTGCTCTGTGCTGACAGAGGGGCTGGGGACGTGCTCCTGTGCATGGGGCTGGTGTGTCACCCCACTGTGTGTCACCCCACTGTGTCACCCACTGTGTGTCACCCCACTGTATGTCACCCATTGTGTGTCACCCCACTGTGTGTCACCCACTGTGTCACCCCACTGTGTGTTACCCCACTGAGCCCCGCCATGCCCTCTGCCTGCCTTCCTCCTGGCAGACTGACAGCAATGGGAAAGAAGGGGCATGCTGTGCTGGGGTGGCACTGTCCAGCTTGTCAGCAGGGCACAGAGTGGAACAACAGTGATGCCTGACAGCTTTTGCCACCACTTGTCCCAGTTCTTCCATGGCACAAGGTCTGTTTGCTGTTTGGGTGGAGTGGCTGCGTGTGCATCTGGCTTTTCTGAAGGCAGTGGCTGCAGCCAGGGATCTCTCAGGAGCTGTGTTGCCATGGGCTTGACCCTGTCCTTCAGCCACCACAACCACATGCTACTCTGCCCTCCAAGCCCCACCAGGTCTCTTCTGGCAGTGATCCAGGACCCTCTGCCCAGGAGGAAACATTTGCACCTTCCCAGCCACAGACTTGCAAGCAAACCTGTTTTGCTCCCTGGCACCTGGCCCCACGTGTTGAGCATACCTTCAGAGGGAAAGTCTGTATGGGGTTTTTTTCCACATTGTAGGTGAACACCCCCAGGAGAGTTTCCTCTTCTCTGTCTGCATCCACTCCCTTGGGAGCAAAGCACAAGGACAGCGAGTCGAGCTCATCCCGACAAAGGGGGAATGTACAGACTGGGTCAGCCCTTGTATGTACCCAGCCTCTCCCAGGGCTCTGGCATTTGTTAGGGTAGAGCTCAGTCTCTGCTTTGCATTTTGGTCAAGAACCCTTAGGTGCTTGGCCAGAAGGAGTCTTAAGAAGAATGGACCTCTTGAGCCCTTGAAGTGTCGAGCTGAGCAAGGCAGTGCTCAGGAGAGTGCAGGACACAAAGCTCAGAGGGTGCACAAAAGCAAACAAGACTTTGCTCTGAGCTCCTCCAGTGCTTCTTCCCCACCAGAAGTGCCCAGCAGACTTACAAAGACAGCAATGTCTTTGGGGGCACTGATGATGGTCCCACTTGGAGAGACATCTTTGGAGATGTGCTGCACTGTGATGGCAGTCAGGCAGATTCGTGCTGGCAACTTGATGACAACCTGGCCCTGGTGCCCTTTGAAAGCCCAGCAGTTTCCTGGGAAAATATTTGGCTGCAACAGAATGCAAGAGCAGTGATATGTGGGCCAACACAACTGCCCATGTAGCTTGAAGTATTGGGGCTGACATGCCTGTGGGTTTTATTTCAGCTTGGAAGTAAGGGGCTGTGAGAAAATGGACAGAAGCAGAAGAGCGTCCCTGCCTGCCAGAGTGGGCTCAGCATGGCAGAACAGAGAATACTGGTTATGAAACCATCCTACTCAGGGACAAGCAGAAACACTTCTGCCCAGGGACTCTGTAGGGCATCCCTCCTCCTCCCACCTCCCACCCTGGAAAGCACTTCTTAGGGTTGACAGTGGAGACAGGGTCACCAGGTAGAAAGAAATCCTTTCACCCAGCTGTGGCCAAGGACTGTGGGCAGAATGCAGCAGAACAGCTCAGTTTGGCTCCACTCCCCTCTGGAGAAGAACCACTGCTTCTCAGCAAGCCCAGCCCATGTTCCAGCTTTGGTTTCAGAAATCCAGTCTACTGTGGGCTTCATCAGTACCACTGGACTGAGGGGAGAGCCCCCAAGAATGGTTCCCAAATTCACAGGAGAGAAGAAAACTGGTGTTTTCTGCTAAAATACCTGCAGGATAGTATCAGGAGGGCTGGCAGTCCAGAATAAGCGTAAAATCCTGCAGAGAAAACTGTCTTTGCAGTCATAGGTCTGGGAAGTTCTTTGGGTGTCAATGGTGGCTCCTGTAAGGGAGGGAGGGGAAATGGCTGCAAGCAGCTACACACTGGCAGGGCTTGGTGCTCAGACACCATTTCTGGTGCCTCTGGGCAGCTCCATGTCCACCTGTCCTGAGTGCATCACCCTGCCCTGGGGGGCAATGACAGCAGCCACAGGCCTGGTGACTGCCTCTCCCACAGGGCTAAGAGTGCTGGGAGGAAGCAAAGCACAAGCCAGGCATTCCTTCTCCAGGTGCAGTGGAGAGGAAAAGAGCCCCTCCATCCACACAGGAACGTTGTCATTTCTGTGCCATCCCCCCAGAATGTGTGTGGAGGCAACCCCAGACATCCCTGTGGAGGCTGTGGGCAGGACACAGACAAGCACAAGGCAAGGAGACCGGGCTGCTCGTGTCCTTACCAGAGCTCTTCAGGGCCCAGTCTGTCTTGACACAGGGTTCCATAGCCATCTGGCTGAATTCCTGGGGAAGCCATGAGCAAACAGGAAAGGTCAGCTCAGCATGCTGCCAGCACCCACAGAGGCAGAGCTCAGTGCCAGCCACGCATGGCCAGCCATGCCCACAGAGCTGGCAAACTCTGTGCTGCTGATGGGAGCCACGAGGACTGAGGAGCAGGGTCTGTGGCCACAACGTTCTGACCCCACCAACAGTACCAAGGAGAGCTTTCCTTGGGGTTCTGCCCTGCCAAGCCTCTTTCCCCAAAATGTCAAGGTCACCTTCAAACTATTGATCTCCGCCCTCAGCTGAGTGACCTCTTCCAGCAGATTCTGCAACTTTTGGGTTTGAATCAAAGTGTGTGAATTCCTGCAAGAACAGAAAAGCACGTCTTGTCAAAGCAGCCCATTCCTTCTGTGAAGCACCTGAGCTCAGTGAACAGACACACATGCTTTCCCTGCTTTGCCAGTGCTTCTTTCCAGCCCAAGCTGAGCAAAAGCCAAAGGCAGAATGGAAGTAGAGGAGCCTTTGCTCTTTGGAAACTGAGCACAGGTAGCACAAGGTCAGCTGACACTTCTGCACACACACAGTCCCAGGTCAGGAAATCTCTCTTACCAAAAGGGTTTCAGTCCTGCTGGAAATACACTTTGCATCTTCTGAAAGAGAAAAATCTTAATTAGAACATCTACTACCAGAGCCACCATGGCTTCCCAGGGCAAATTACACAATCTCCTTCTTCTTTGGGTGATGCTTTGTAGAAGAAGAGCCTCAGATTTATCCACCCACTGTCAGCAGCTCTCCCCTGCAGGAGGTGCCTGTCCCACAGCAGTCACTAACCTCCACGAGTCCCTTTGTCCACGGTGACCATTCTGACAGGACAGCCCCACAGAAACCACCTGCAATTCACATCCCCAGTCACTGGAGTGGGGTTTGCAGGCAGCCCCGAGGGCCCATCGTCTGCTCCCTGCTGCCTCGGGGGTCAGGCAGGTTAGCTGAGGGGTGTGGGATGAGGGGTGCAGAGAGGGATGTGCCTCTGGCTGGGGCCACCAGCCAGGCTTCAGGGGCCATGGCAGCATGGTCTGCAGTTGTGCTTGTGCCCCACTTTACTCCCTGTTTCCCCTCACTCCAGTCAGCACCAGGACCAGGCTGTAGGGGTGGGAGGGGGACCTGCCCATCCCTCCCCTTGCACTGCCCCTCTCCTCTGGCCATCCCCAGCTCAGTTTTGGAATACCCATGCCCTTCTCTCTCAACCTTGCAGCAAGCCATTCAGCAGCCAGAGCAGCAGCATGGCTGTGAGACTACCTGGGAGTTTTACTGGTGGTCCCAAAGCCAGACAAGGGCACACTTGGGAACACACAAGGGCACACACAAGGAAGCACTTGGGCCACAGAAGTTTCCACACATAATGGCCCCGAAGACAAGCTGGTATCTAGCACAGCCAGGCTGTTATTCTCAGTTGTTTGCCCGTGAAAACTCACCAAGAGCCACTGAGAGCAACACAATGAAGACTTTAAAGCTCTTCTTCAGCTGCAGCATCTTTTCCCTGAAAGAGAGGGAGTCCTGGGGCTGTCAGTTAGGCAAATCCCTTCACAGCAAGGAAGCACAGGAGCCTTGCTGACTTTGGTCCCAGAGCTCTCCCACACCTGCAGGGTCTCTTGCCAGAGCTGGGGAAAACCCTTCCCCTGCAGATGCTTGGCTCTCTGCTGAGTGCTTGGCTGCACAGCAGTTTGTCCTTCTGCAGCCAAAGCTGGAGGCTCAGCTCCGGTGTGCCAGGGACACTGCCAGGGGGCTTTGCTCTTGGCTCTGCCTGGGACTGGCCACAGCACAAGCAGTGCTCAAGCTTCATCGTCCAAGTGAGAGCCCTGGGCTGATTAGGGACACCCTCTGCTCTCCCCTCTGCTTGCACTGGCCCTCAGACATTCCCATCCTGCCCCCTGTCCACAGTAGAAACATGTAGTGTCCACTCTGTGAGGATGGCATGAGAATGGCTCAGAAAATTTCTCCCCAGGGAGACAAAGGCACCTGCCAAATAAGCCTGAACAACATTCCTTGGAAAAGAAACCAGAGAAAAGTTATGCCTGGCTCTTGAGTCTCTTCTTCAGCTGAGACCCATCCCCACAGAAAGGGGACTTCACACATCACAGGGCTGGTCTTCAGAAAACCTTTCTGAACATTCCCCATGCTGCTCCAACCCCACTGACAACCACATCCATCCTGCTGTTCCAACCTGACACCCTGGGCAGGAGCAGCCCACTTCATACCAGCTCATTGGGCAGTCACTGAGCTCCACAGTCACCTCTGCCAGTGGTTTGGAAGACTCAAATGGTTTGTGTTGAGCCTTTCTCCTCCCTGTCCCTCCGGGCTCAGCTCTGCCTGCCCAGCTGCAGCAGGATGTGATGTTTGCCCAGTGTGACAGCCACTCTGGGCTCTGTCCCCGTGCCACAGGGCTGTGCAGGAGCTGCTCTGACCTCACAGCCGTGGTGGCTCTGCTTTCACAATTGGGGTGCCCAGGGTGGTAGCCACATGGCAACTGTGTGTCTGCACATCCCCATTTTGGTTTGCAAAAGGCCGTGCTGGCAGGTCTGCCTGAAGGTCAGATGGTTCCTCCTACCAGCTAACGAGTGAGTTATCTATAAACAAGCAAAGGATGCTTGCAGAGGGTCAGGAATCACAGATTCATATGCAGTTACAGGATGGTTTGGATTGTGTGATAGATGAGTCATGTGATAGTTGACTCTCACAATTAAAAGGCAAATATTATATAAACATGCTAAGAGAAGTTTTATAGACTTATAGTTATGTTTTACTCCCTTGTATTGTTATCAGGGGGTGACCTGGGTTTGGGATATTTGGGAGGGTTGGCCCATTACTATGGCAACAGCTGACCTCCAATCAGGATTTAAGGAAGTGACCTCCCCCACTGGACAGCGAAGGAGGAGTTGATGGACAGAACTTTGGGAGGGACCAAAGGGTTAAAAGGTGAAACCGCCATTGTGTGGGTGAGCACATGGTGGGGAAAATCCTCTGCTCCTGGCACTGTAATATTTTCTCTATTCAGTCTTCTGTTGTTTTTTTGATAAGGTTTTAATAAAACTTTTACATTTTTTTGGAAGTGAGTATCCTTTCTCCCGGATTGGAAGGACGCTGCAGTTCATGTCTGAACTCTGGGGGTTGTTACTGGTGCCTCAGCAGCACCAGTGTCACCAGGCAGTTGTTCCCTGGGCTGGCACAGGAAGGGAGGCTGCCCCTGAGGACATGAGCTGAGGCCTGTTCGCCTTACAGTAATGGAACCACACACCCTGAACATGTGAACCCCAGTTTCTTACAGCTTTGTGTGTGAAAGACAGACTTTTGTTGCCCAGGGACTAACTCAGAGGTGATTTTCTGGTTAGAACAACCATACCTTTCCTATCAGTTTCTGCTATCTATAAACATTTATTGCTCTTGTCTTTGCTGGACAGAAATACTAACTTGAGCTTGTTTCCTCTACTCATTTGTTCCCACTATGCTCCCAGACTGTGGGAAATTTATTATCTCTAGGATTTCTAACTTCTGCCAAGCTGGGTCTGATCGTAGTGCCGAAATAATTACCAGAGAGAGTGGATGCACAAATAGTGCCATTACATTCATCTTGTTTCCTGCAACAACAAAATATCCTTAACATCTCATTTCTTCTCCTTTTCCTCCTCCCACCGTACCCTCAGTTGCATTGAGAGGTTTTTCTCTTCTGGTTTATAGCCTGGGCAATACCACCCTGCTCAGACCTGCGTTGCGTGCAAAATCCCATTTGTTCTCCAAGAAAAGGGAACCACAAAGACATGGCCTCTGTTGCTTCCTTCTCCCTTGCAAGTTACTGTAACCTGCTCTCGAAGGGATTGTGGTGATGGAGGGCAAAGCCCCTGGTACCCTCAGCAGCCACATGGGGCTGCTGAAAGGAAAGACAAAAAGGCCTGATGGGCAAGCAAAGGAGATGTCAGGAAGGCTGCAAGAGAGGAGTTCCCTTCACCCAGCTTTGGGCCTCCTGCTGATACACCTGTGGTGAGAAAGTGAGAGCACCAGGCTTTGCCAAACACAGCCACAGCAGCTGGAACAGACCCATCTGGCATTTCTGATGGGCCATCCAACAAAACATGCTCATGTATGCACCACAGCCTGACATAACTGAGGAAAGGACCAAAAAGCCAGGTGGGAACCCAAGTCCTTTGCCTAAAGCCAGTAAGAGCTGTCACTCCTGCTCAGTAACTCCAGCTGCTGCTTGGAAACCAGTGTGGCAGGACTTGCCCCCACCTCAGAAGAGCTGATCTGTTCTGTCCATCAGCACTGTCCTCCCATCACATGAACTGATGAGATAAGCCAGGCTGGCCTGGCTGGCTGGGGAGCTGGCTCTGCTGGTGAGTTCTCTCTCTCTCTGGCACCAGGGGTGGAACTCCCAGTGGACAATAAACAACTGGCCTTGAGAACAAGATGTGGGGATATGAGCTGGAATTTCTGGCTGACAGACACTTCACTTTACAAACTATAAAAGCTGCACAAACTTTCATGGAGGCAGAAATCTCCTCCACGCATTTCCAACCTTGGAAATGTGAAGGACTTCTCCCCAGAGTCTGGACACAAATTCTGAAGATATTGTCCCAGGAATTGCGTACCTTATGTGTACTCCATCATCAATTCAATGCTAAATTTCATTGACTCCTAATCTATACTATTTCTTCACTAGCTGTAGTAACCTTTTCATCTACTAGTAGTTGGTGTTGTTTCATCCTGTGTAGTAAGCAACCTGTTTAAAGTCCTCAGTCTGTTAATCTTGTGTCTATTCAATAAGTAATTCATTTTGTAATCAACCTAATTGGCCATTCTTAAGAACTTGCAAATGAGAGACGTTTGGGGTGCAGGCCACCTCAAACAGAGCTACTGCCAGAATTCTGAGTCACAGTCAGGACTTGTCTAAGCTCTCATCTCCATTTGTAAACCAGTCATGTGCTGACACTGAATTTTGTAATTAGAAGAAAACTCTACTGTCTATTAAAAAATGTTGCAAATATAGGAACATAACCAGTGACAGAGAGAGATGGCAAGTGAGGCCCCAAGGCAGTTTTATGAATATTGTTGTGGTGCCTCTTGCGGATACACTTGACCCTCAGCTGTACTTTGGATCAGGCCAGCTATGGAGCAACGGGCCCCACGCCCTGTGGTGGATTTGTGAGCTGGAATGCTCCTGGCTTAGGTACAAGGAAGTTAAGGTGCCTTGGAAAAATGTTTTTAAAGTTGGCTTCAAAGCCCAAAAGTGGAAAATAACTAAAGTAGAGAAGAAGATAATGGAGCTAAAACAAAGACATCTATCTTCTTTAAACTATTGACCAGCAGCCAACTACTTCACTCTAATAAATATTACAATCAGGGTAAGCCAAATTTGAGCTGTCCCTGAGTGGCAGCTGGATGCATACCAGTGACTCTCCCCTTGAGCTGGAGCACCACTCAGGGTTTCAAATCCCTTACCTGAAAATAAGAGGTCCTTCCATGCCCGAGGCAGAGAGATTTCTTAGTTCCAACAGATCCTCAGTAAGTCATTGATGAATTAATAAAAAAATGCATGTAGCTGTTCAGAATTAACTATTATAAATTTTGTGTAGATGATTCCATTAAACATAAACAACTGTCATAATCTGAAGCTAAAATTTGACCTAGCTGAATCCAGGCTTTGTGTGGAGGTTAGAAAGCAAGAGGGTCCACTCTGAACCTCATTGGGATGGTCTTCCTCACCCTCTAAACCCGCCCTAGGGAGATGGGCTCTTGTGCTTCTCTTTCTTCTTCTCCCTCTTGAGCTTTGGCCAGCTGAAGAACATAAACTAGAATCCCAGAATAGTTTGG